ATCTCTATCTGGTGCACTACGACATTGCTGGACGGGCTTCGATTGACCGACAGACAGGTCCGAAGTACCGTTTCCTGTTGGGTGGCAGTCTTCTCGCCTTCCTGGTCTTTGTCATCACTGGGCCGCTCACGTTCTTCTCCGGTCTCAACTTATTGAGAGAGTCTAATATGGTCACCAGTGCATCAATAGCTATCTCGTTGAAGGTTGGAGAGTTCTCTATTCCCGTATGGAATACCGATCATGTCGGTCTCAGAGTCCCACAGGCATCGGAGTACCCCCTCATGCCCGAAGAGTTGGTCTCTTATACAGCCATGCAGAGTGCTGACCTCCAGAACGCTACATTGCCGAAGGCTGCGGATGAGCTATGGCAACCGAGTCCACCACTTCGTCGACAGATCAGAGACTATATTCAGGCCAACCAGACACCTGATGGGGAGGTCAATGCGACGTTCTGTGTGACTTGGGAGTTTGGTCACTCCCAACCTGGCAGTGTACGGTCCTCGGGCTATCATTGCGTGCAGTCAGTGGAGCCGGCGCAGCAGCTTCTGGATGCGATGGCCTTGGTGAACGGTAGCCAGCTACATATAGACGGGCTCTTACCTAGGGCGCTTTATCTGAATGGCCCATGGGCAAGCCCTCCAGGGTCATTTCGCCAGTTCACCAACGTATCGTTGAAGGTTGAAGAGGAGGATTCTCAGATATGGTGGTCTCTGGCTGAGAACCCCACATTGGCGGTGGTCAGTGAGAGGGCGGTGCCGCCCAGTGCTGGAGGAGGTGCATCGGCATCCTCAACTCTCAGCGTCATCAGCCTCTATGTGGGCGTGGTTCTCACTATAGGACGCTTCTTCAGGCTGGTCATCCAAGACAGCAGTAAACGCATCATGTTTGAGGAGCTCCCATCGGTAACGTATCTCCTTCAGCTCTGTCAAGGAGTTCAGATCGCTCGTATGCGCACTCACTAGAGGCTGAGCGTGTGCTCTACTACGAAGTTGTCACACTCTACCGTTCGCCAGCTAAGTTGCTGTCGGTCACTG